CCTTGGTGTTATTTCTCCTCTCTAAGGGCAGGAGTGAGGAAGTGAGGGAGTGAGGCCGCCAACAGTCCTGGGCCACAGCTGCTGGGGGCAGAGTTGGGGGGGGGCATGTCCAGCCTTTGGGGTGAAGGGGATGAGGCCCAGCTGCTGGAATCCTACCTCCGGTTGATTTTGCATTCCAGAAAGCAGAGCCTTTGGAGATGGCTGGGGAAGAGCATTAGAAACTGGGGGCTCTGGGGAAGGAAGGAGAGGGCTCCTGTGGGGGCTGCACAGTACGAGTTCACCAGTGACTCCTTGTGGGCCCACTCAGTGGCCTGCGGGCAATGTAGGCATAGAGATGCATTCGATAAGATCCCCGTCTTTAAAGAATTTAAAGCGTAGTTGGGGAGATAAGACAAGCATGTAAAGCAGTTTGGGAACAATTAAGAGCTAAACAGTGTGGTCTTAATTATGAAAGCAGGAGGCATTCTGGGAGGGGAAAGATGAGTGTGGGCCTGGTGGCCTGAGAAGCCTTTGTCAGGAATTTTGCTGGACGTCCGAGGTAGGACTGGGTAGGGTTTAGATTAGAGAGTGATAAGCCAGGGAGATGGGAAAGCAGCGTACAAGCAAGACCTGGCATGTTTGGGCCTGGGTGGGGGTGGGGAGGGGCTCCTCTGGGAGATCTTTGGGCTGAGACCAGCTGGGAATGTGCTTGGCCCAGGGCATGGCTGGAGAGGGTCCATCCATCTTGGCCTTCTTCCTTGTGGTTCCCAAACTTGGGCAAAGGGGAGATGCTGGTGGTACGGGGAGTGGCTCCCAAGCCAGCAGCAACACCTCGGAACCTGTTAGAAATGCACATTCTCAGGTCCCAGCCTGGACTTACCGAATCAGATGCAAGGGTGAGGGTGTGGAGCAGGGGCACAATCTGTGTTTTAAGGAGCCCTTGGGGACATGATGCAAAGATTCGAGGACCACCCATGTAGTGTAAACAGGAGCCCTGGGCTGGGTGGCAGGGAGACTTGCGGTAGTCCCACCTCTACCATCTAACCTTGGGTAAGCCCCTCTTTCTCTCTCTGGACCTCACAGTCAGTCCCCATGCTCCGAGTTCCCTTTTTTGGCCTGAGGACCGTGGTCATTCCTTCAACAAACTTTTGCTGAGCAGTTGCTTTGTGTCAGGCACCCTTCTAGTCTCTGGGGATGCATTTGGTGGATAAACAGAAATTCCTAACCCAATGAAGCTTGCATTCTGGTCTCTGAATGAGGCTGTGGTCAGATGGTGTGGGAGTCACCAGATCCCACACCTCCCTCTTGGGAGCCACTGTGTACTTTTAGCACCTTAAAGGCTCTAAGAAGTCCCATGAGAAATATATTTAATTTTATTAATTTCCTAAACTTATTTAACTACAGAATTTCTCCTGACATTTCCCCCCCCCACACACACACACCTGCCACACCCTTATTAACATCCCTGTGTTCACCAGAACACAGTTTGAGAGGTGTTGGCTACACATGAGCTCTTGGGGGGCAGGTGAGCCGCTTCTCTGGACTTGGGGGTGAAAGGTTCCTTCTGCGAGGGCAGGTGTCCCTAGCTGACTGGGAGGGAGGGAGGAGAAAGGCAGAGCTGCTCCCAGTGAGGGAGTTGAGCTCCTCTCCACCAGGGCACGGTGGTCTGGCAGGAGGAAGGGGGTTAGAGGTGGCTGTAGGTGAGGTGCCCCCACCCCGGTCTGCTGTGGCCGTGGCCTTGCTGCTGGCTCCTGAGCTGCAGGCACAGGACCCCACCAGCCTTTATGGGGCCCTTCTGGAAACTGGAAGCTGCCACCTCTGGGTAGGCCCATGCCTTGGTGAGCAGATGGGACGTGAAGACAGCACCCCTCCCTCTGGCTGGCACGAGGACTTGGCTTGCAAAGAGAGCCGGGGTGGATTTGGGCCGCCCTCCCCGCTAGTCACTGCCCTGTTCCGGGCATAGCCCGGCCGCTGACGGCGCGAGGGCCGTGGTTCTTGAGTACCTGGTGCTGACGGCCCTTCTTGAGGAAAGCGTCTTACCATCTGACAGCGGACCACATGGCACCAAGAGCAAGAGGGATGTAGACTGGTGGAAGAAGAGTGAGGGTCAAGGGCTGTCTTCTCAAAACCCTCAAGTTGCTGTTTTTAGCTGAAAAATGCATGCAGTTTTGTCCTTTGACCCCGTACTTTGTCCCTGACTTTGACTCTTAAAATTGAGGGACTTTGGCCTTCCAGAGAACCGTGCCCTCAGCCCGGTGCACTGTGGCCTGTCTGGTTGTTCTGACGTACCCCCTCGTGGGGGCTGGCAATGGAGAGGAGGCAGGGTAGGACGGGTGGGTGCACAGGCCAGAAGGTGGAGCACAGTGAGGTTGGAGGCGACATTTCCACACAGACGGCAAGTGTAAAGAGCCCAAGATGGATGCACCCCTGGAGAGGGGGCGCGCTGCTGGGCTGTGGGTCCAAAATGGGCCTGCCCACCCCCAAGACTCCCTGGGGCAGAACCAGACCTCCAGGGCAGCCAGGAGACCTGGGCCCTCTCAGGAGAGGAAGCGTGTGTAGGAGAGAGGCCCCTCGTGCAGCCCCAGCCCTGACCCTAAGAGGGGTCTTGGGCCCCTCACTCCATCCCTTGTGCTTCCTTCTCCTCACTGCGAAAGGATCTGCTTGCTTCCTCTCTGCCCTTCTGCCCCTTGCCCCATCTCCTTGCAGAACCATTACACTTCCATAATGCGGGCTGGCCACTCTCCCCTTCTGGGACTGAGCAGGAGCAGTCCCTGGTACCCCAAGGGCAGGGCTGGGG